AGTTATCTGTTTGGATCTCCTGGCCTCTGGCACTCACTGGCTAAATGCAGCATGTTCCTTTAACTGCAGATGCCACAGCTTTTTAAAGCAGCATTCCCTCCATTCCTCTGAGTCACATGTGATAAGTTAATAAGGCAGGACTCTGTATATAGGTGCTTTTGCTTGTTAAAATCATTGAAAATTTACCAAATGCATTATTTTTGTTGCTTTATTACACAGGATTTACTACAAGTGCCTGGCATTTTTAATTAGCCTGACCTTTGTGGTCCATGAATGCCAATGGTAAAAGTTGTATTTGCCAGAATTTTTACAAACCAATTGAATATAGAGAGGAAAATGGAAGATTGATAAACAATATCGTGTGTGTGTGTGTGTGTGTGTGTTTCTGTCCATCTGTATACACATATATATTATCTATCTGTTGATCCATCTATATCTCTTTTCAAAGTGTGGATATAAAATAAAAATGAAAATAATCATCTGCTCTCATTCAGAAAATCAAGAATATTTCAACAATAAATGTAGAATAAACTTAATTTTACAATAAAAAGATACTTTCTGGAATATATTGACAATTGGCAAATTTACTCAATAGCATAATTTAGTTTCTATATTTTAAAATAAATATACAATAATATAGTATTGGTTTGAGTGTAAATTTGACAGTGTCTGTAACTGACAAAATAACAAGATATTACATAAAAATCTTATTTTGTACAGATACCTTTTTCATAATTCTATATGAAATAGATGAGATGGTCATATTTTAAAAACAACTAATTATATTTAACTATTTGCAAAATGTGAGCAGCAATTTAATTTAAATTTTTTCTGGGACATTAAAAATAACTTAAGAAAAAGCCACCCATTAACTCATAACAGTAGCTCTTTTGTCTCTCTGTCTCTAGAATTTATATCTATAGCTCTTTTCCAATTCTTTATTTTAAAGACTAGAGCAGCCAGGGCTGTATTGAATAGCAAAGTGATAATGAGGACCTCATTTTACACCTCTAGATAAATTTTTTCTGGGATTTTACTAGTGAATATAATGAAGCTCTTGATTTAAAAGAAGTTGTCTTTAACACCTAAAAAGGATTTCCTTTTCTTTTTACATATTTTTATTAGTAATAGTTATTCAATTTTATCAAATATGAGTTCTATATATTCAAATATTTTTACTTTTAATCAACCTATCTATAGGTTACAAGTCTATTAACAAATTTTATGTTAAATCATTTTTATATTCCTAGATTAAACTTGAATTGAAGGCAATGAGATCCTCCTAATATGAGAATCACTTTTTTACTATCTTAAATTTTAAACATTTATTAGTATTAGAGATTGAACTATAATTTTCTCTTGGAGTTTTTCTTATATTTAAGAATTGAGATTAAACTAATTTTTTACAATACATAAGGTAATTTCACATCTTTTTATTAACTTCTAAAAAGAAAACAAATTTCTCTCTCTTCGTTATCTCAAGTTTAATTCCGAAGAAATAGAGAATGAAAAATAGAAACATGGGATAATACAAAGAAAAGAGAAAAATCTGATTTTGATAAATTAAGGTAAATTTAATAAATTATCTTTTTTTCTTGTTGTACTTATTTAAGTAAAGATTATTCAGTTCAGATAATCTTCACGATTACTTCATGATGTTGGCTGCTATGAAATCACTGGCAATATCAATACAAAACATGAGAAACATATCTGAAATATGGTCCTAGGTGATTTTTTTATTGGCACTAATTCTATTCTGAGAGTATATTAATATTTCCAAATATCCATGTATATTAGCAGCAAAATCACATTTACTTTTAAATTCTGAACAGGTATTTGTGTTCTTAAATTTTAAAGATATAACATCCTACACAGACTTAAAATTCATTATCTATGCTAACTTTCATCAATATATTATATCTCCTAATTTTTAATATTAATTTGTAGGCTACCCCTGCTTACACATAACTTAAGGCATTGGTTCTTAACATTTTTTTTAAATCACAGGCACTACTGAATAACTGATGCATCTCCTTGACCTTACCAAAGGAAAAATAAATAGAAACTGACAATTGTGCATTACATTTCAAGGCTTTTATCAATTTACTAGAGACCCAGTGAACTAAATTAATGCACAGGGGTGTCCCTCAGTCCTGCCTGCACCTCTAATCTGAGACATCTCTCACAATCCAGGACTGCTGGCTCCTAACCAATCGCCTGCCTGTCTGACTGGTTGCCCCCTAACTGCTCCCCTGCCAGCCTGATTGCCCCTAACTGGCCTCCCCTGCCAGCCATCTTATGGTAGCTATCTAGTGGTGGTCATCTTGTGGCAGCCATCTTGTGAAAAAGTGGGGGCAGGCATCTTGTGATGACATAGGGCAGCCATCTTGTGATGATGTGAGGGGCAAAGGCCACCTAGGCTTTTATTAGTGTAGATTATAATTCATTGAGGGGCTCCAATTTAAGTACATGTGATCTAAGAAGTATTAACTATTTAAATAACCTAGAAGTATTTTGGCTTTTAATAGGATTAAATGAGAGGAGAGATTAAAATTTCATCCCAAATAAACTTTTCAAGCCACAAATAATTAATAGTGTGGCTTTTATATTATAAATATATGAAAAAATGTCAGAGAAAGTCTCATATTTTCCACAAAACATTTTTTATCTTAGAATACAATTGAAATTCTTCTGGAATTATGGAGATGAAAAGAACTAAGAATTATTTATTTTTTCTAATGTGTTATTTTATAACTCACCCAGTTTCCAAATTTATCATAGAAATAGCCATTTTTTCCCTCCTACTACATATCAGAATGTGATACTTGAAAATAGGGTCTTCACATTCTGAAATTCCCAGAGACAGAAATTTTGGAGAGACTATTCAATCCACTACATGCATGAAAATTTAAGAAGTGAAAAAAGAAAAAATCAAAACACTGATCCGATTCTTTTTCCAACATTTACTGGTGGTGGGGTTTGGGGCAAAATGCTGAAAGCCATGATGCCCAGGGTTCTCACTGAAGGCTGAAAAATAGTGAAATGATTCCTATCTCATAAGTAATATGAATATTTGAAATTGTGCATGTAAAATTTCTAATATACTCTGACTTGGGAATAAGGAATATTTTATAAATGAGAATAAAAAAATTACATGTCCTAAGTAAAATCCTTATATATAAAAACCCTGGATCATAACAACCAGTAATGACAGGAGGCTGACCAACTGGAAGTCTGTGCTGGCCCCACCCCCAAGCAAGCAGTAAGGGGCAATCAGGCAGCCAGGCAGAGGGGTTAGGGATGGTCAGGTAGGCAGGCCAGTAGTTAGGAGTGATCAGGTAGGCAGACACCCATTGCCAGGCTGGCCCCATCCCCAAGCAAAAGGTTAGAGGCAATCTGGCAGGAAGGCAGAGTGATTAGGGTTGGTCAGGTAGGCAAACAGCAGTTAGGGGTGATCAGGTAAGTAGGAGAGCAGCAAGGAGCGATGATGTAGGCGGACAGACCCTCTTAGGACTGGCTCCACCCCCCAACAAAGAAAGAGGGAAGCTCAGGCCAGCCAAGCCATTGCACCCCAGCCTGTCACCTGCAGAGGGAGGTCACTGGTGGCAGGTGCCACACAGATGGCGAGCAGTAGCAATGGTGGGGATGAGGCCAGCTGCCTACAGCTCAGGGAAGGAAAAAGCCCCGATAGGCCCTGATCTCAGCCCAGGCCTAAGGACTCTACCCGAGGGGTCCTGGATTTGTGAGAGGGTGCAGGCCAGGATAAGGGACCCCGCCCCCCCACTCCCAAGTGCACAAATTTTTGTGCATTGGGCCTCTAGTTTTAATAAGAAGAAGTTTAAGGCTTTGAGGTCCAATATTTTTTATTCCAAAAAAACTGTTTTGCACAGATTTAATTCTTCTGGTAGATGTTGAATTACATTAAAATGTTAAGTCTACTAGGAGACTATACAGATGAGATTCTTTAAGTAAAGCATGTTTGTGGGTTTATATTAATATTTGTTATGGTTTGTGGTTATTCCATTTAAGATAAGTTGCTAATGGCCTCTGACTCAACTTTTGCATAAACAGGGCAAAGTGCCTATCATATGTATGTAACCCAATTGGAGGGCTTCCAGAACCACAAATCATGGATGATTCTAAGGAACTTCTTGCAAGGAAAGCATACAGTAAAATGGTAATTAAAAATAATAATCAAAACAAAAACAACAGTTTAAAATGGAAATCAATATTATTCTATAGTATTAAGTTAGGAAATTTTTAAAATATGTTTGTTCAGAGAGTTACAATTAAGGCACTTGAACTAACTAGTAAATAGTAATATGTGTGTCAATGGAGTTCAACAAATTGTTTTGAGACTCTCATTGCAATTTCATTGATACATTTCTGAATATGTGTACTGTATAATTTTGTTAATCAAACTACTTCACAAATTTTATAGTTCCTTTATTCTTACTTCATATTCTTTAAAAGAACTTATTTTTAATTTCAAAATTTCATAAGAGACTTTATTTAATATTGTACTTTTTTCACACATCAAAACTTATAAAGAACTAATTGAACAGCTGTTAACATGGATATGATTCCAAAAATGAAGCTGAGTGACAAAAGCTGAAAAAGGAATGATGTATATTTAATAAGAAAATAGCAAAGCTGAATATTCTTCATATTTACAAAACTTGGGTATTAAAAGCATGAAACATAAATTAGAATGGGTACACCTATATCATAGTACAATACATCTTAGGAGGATAAATAGAGGAAGGAATGGAAGTGTGTAGAACTTTAGCAGTTAATGTTTTATTTGACAGAGAAAAAGAGAGATATTTGAAGCAAATATGGCAAAATATTAATTCTTTCTGCTATAGTACTTTTCTGTGTATTTTGTATTAAAGAGTGAGGGAGGTGTGGAGAAGATGGGGAATAAGGGAAGAACTGTATAAAGTAGTCAATAGAGATCATAAAGAAAGAAAGATGATGTATGAGTGAACTATAGGAGCTATAATGAAAATCAAGTATAGTTGTGCACTGGAGACAGATTTTAAAAGTAGGAGTCAAAAAAGAAAAAAAGATAAATTACAATGAATAATTAGGCAAGTAGATCGATATTAAAATAGTGGAAGTAAGTAGAGTGTATGGGAAAGGTAAGATGAGAGAGTAAGGGGAGAAAAGAAAAGTTTTAAAGGGGAACTGATAGAACTTCGAGGGAGAATGGGAAGAAGGAAAAAATGAAGCAAGGAACAAAGCAAGTCTGAGGGAGGAAGTGAAGAAAAAATTAAGTTGGGAGGAAGGAAAAGGGGAGAGAGAGCAGGAAAAGAAAAGAAGGAATGTAGGGAGGGAGGGTAGAAGAAAGATGGGAAGAAGGATGATGGAACTGAAGTAGGAAATAAGGAGGATAGAAAAGTTTATAACTGATGAGTCAGTAGGGAAAAGTGTTACATAAAGGAGAGAAAAATTGTGTGAGAGGGAGAAGCCAAATACAATTGTGTGTGAAAGAGATAAGATTTAAAAGAAATAGTTAATGGGGTGTAGGCAGGCAGGGTAGGGCAGTTAGGAGTGACTAGGCTGGCAGTTAGGGGTGACCAGCCAGCAGAGGAGGGCAGTTAGGGGGATGAGGCCAGCAGGCAGAATGGTTAGGGAAGGAAGGCAGGTGAGCAGTTAAAAGACAGAATTTCCCTATTGCAAGAGGGCTCCTGCATTGGAAAGGATACAGGTCGGTTTGAGGGGAGCCACCCTCATGCATGAATTTTGTGCACCAGGCCCCTAGTATACTCGTGTGTGTGTGTGTGTGTGTGTGTGTGTGTGTGTGTGTGTGTGTATTAGGTCTAGTAATAATTAATGTCGTTTTCTAATACTTTTTTAAATTGAATTTATTTAAACAATACAACAAAATTTAATCAACAATATAGTTGCCATTGTTTTCTACTACTTGTGCCCAATGCTCAGGAAGCATTTTAATCCCTCTGTTGTAAAATTCTTGTGATTTTGATGCAAAAAATTTGGTCAATGCATTTTTGAGGCATTCTTCATTATTAAATTTTTTTCCAAGAAGAAAGTTTTGCAAAGAACGAAACAAATGGTAATCAGAAGGGGCAATATCAGGAGAATATGCAGGTTGAGGGAGAACTTCCCATTCCAACTGGCGCAGTTTTTCAGCAGTGATTCTTGCAGTATGCAGTCGTGCGTTATCCTGGTGAAGAATTACGCCCTTCTGATTAATCAGCGCGGGTTCTTTTTCTCTTAAAGCTTGGGCTAACCTTTCCAATTGGGCACTATACACTGCACTTGTAATGGTTTGGTTAGATGGTAAAAGTTCATAATGAAGAATTCCTTTAAAATTCCACCAAACACACAACATCACTTTTTTCGCATGCAAGTCAGGTTTTGGCGTGGGCTGCGGAGCCTCATTTTTGTCCAACCATTGAGGCCGCCTTTTCAAATTAACATACAGCACCCATTTTTCATCTCCGGTAACAATTTGCTCTAAAAACGGCAAACGGTTTTGACGAGAGAGGAGCGAACTGCAAATTGTGACTCTTTGATTACGGTTGTTTCAGTCAACTCATGAGGAACCCATTTTCCAAATTTTTGGACTTTGCCAAGTGCACGCAATTGATTGGAAATTGTTTTTTGTGAACAATTTAAAGTTGTCGCAAGCTCTTGTTGGGTAATTTGAGGATTTTGCACCAAAAGAGCTTGAAAAGCTTCTTGATCAAAATTGGACACACGGCCTCGACCACTCTTGTCATCTAACGAAAAATTTCCCTCGCGAAATTTCTCAAACCAACGCTGGCATTTTCTGGCGCTAATTGCATCTTGACCAAGAGCACTACAGATGTTTTTTGCAGCCTCACTTGCTTTTCTTCCTAATTGGAACTTGTAAAGCATGCAGTGCCGAATATGCTCTTCATCCGCCATCTTCTTAGCCCTAGTTTTGCAACAAAAACCAAACCAAACACAAACTTTTTCAAGCAAAACTTGTTAATTGCACTTCACACGTTCTGTAGATACCACGTGTTTGAAGGTTATGTCAATACAAGTCAACGCCAAGCAAGATTTTAAACGAATGTTAAAAAACAACATTAATTATTACTAGACCCGATATATATATATATATATATATATATATATATATATATATATATATATACACACACACACACACACACACACACACACACACACACACAGTTGGTTAATTATTTAGTTTCCAGCTATTTTTGGATGACTAATTTACTTTTATAATTTACTATCTAATTCTGGAGAATATCAGTCTAGATTAAAACAAACAAAGCTTGGTTTGATCAATATTTATATTAATGTCTTAATCTCATTGAATAGTTTATCCTGAAAAATATTATTTACTAATTGAAACAAACCTAAGGATATTTACAGATTAGTCAAAATGCCTGATATGGATTATCTTGAATTAATTAGTTTCCACATTTTCTATGTCTGCTGAAAGCTAACCACATCCTAAGTGAGTGGGAAGAAAAGTGAGGGAAAGCATAGAAGTATAGGTTGGCCACAGTAGGTCCATAGGGAAATCTATTGAGCTAATGAAAGTGTTTATTAAGCCAGCTCTAATTCCCTTTAAAATTGCTTTCAAAGATGTTTTCTTAAACTACTGCCTGTCAAACTTAACATTTTGAAAAACCATTTTAAAGCTATTTTCTGAGGATTTTCAAAATCCTGCAGCCACAACCATGCCTTCTTTTTTATCTAGGTAATATTATAACTTATATAATACAAAATGTACATAATTAGTCTTTAATTTTAGAACACTGTTATTCTAGTAATATTTTCCTTTGTGTTTTATTTCTCTGAAGAACATGCACCTACATAACTTGATAGTTATTTTAGTGGATTTTTAAAGCCTCTTTCATTATAGTCAAAGGTAGGCACTCTAGTAATAAGTGGCTTTAAATTTCATGTTATATATTGCTTTCTGTTTATCATGGATACATTAGGCTTAAAAATGACACCTGGCTGTAGGAGCCAATAAATTGTGTTAAAACTATAATTGTACCACTAAAGGCTATTGACACCATTACCATGACTGAAAAAGACTGAAGCCACGTCTACTCATTGACCAATTAAATGGGATATGGCCCTCCACTTTCCCACCACTGGTTCTCACAATGTTCCTCAAACATATCTTCTCTTCCCCGCTTTGGTGTACTTACATTTGCTCTTTCCTCTGCCTGTAATTCTTTTCACATGACTATATATTCACATTAATTTATCACTCATCATAGCCTCATAGCCGCCCCATAAACATTTATATAGCACATAAAATGCCATTTGTTTGGAGATGACTTCTATGACCACCTGCCACTTGTGATTGTCTGAAGTCATTTATTTCTTATGTGCTTCCTATATGCCCTTCCATCTCTTCAACTCCTCTTCGCTCATCCAAAAAGGGAAAGCAGAGGGTCTGCCTCTTATATGGCATTATATTTCAAGAAATTAGGCAATGTTTGTCACACATACCAGGTGCCCAATAAATATTGTTTTTTCATGGAATAATTTTAAAATAGAAATACATTATTATATTATGAAATGCACTTGAAAATTACCACTTTTGCTTTGTAATAACAATTTTCCAGTTTGCTTCTACATTTCTATTATATATACAGATTTAAGCAGGTATTTATAAATTTAATGGCCAATAAGTGATGTACTAGATATTCTATTCTACTTATATTATAATCATGGAAACAAAAGATGAGATAGTAAGTTATATTTTTCTTATAATTATACTAACTAAAATAAAATGAGACTAAAACTCTGCTCTACCAGTCCTTAGTTGTTTTCATCAAACATGCTAAAGTTAGTGAAAAAGCTACATGAATCCTTCAACCTGTTTTGAGAAGCAGAAAAGTGAAAGAGTAAAAATGGCATTGGATTCAAAAGAGCTGAATTTTATTCTTTGCTGTATTTCTGACTAGTAGTGTAATCCCAACATATCTAACTACTCTGAGATACAGAGGCTGTAAGAGGAAATCATAGCATTTCTTTAGGGCTTAAGTAAGAAGATATATTCGAAGTGCTCAGTAGAGCTCTGATAATAGTCTCTCAATATGTGGTATTTCGCTGTCATCATGTTAGCTGGTGAGGTAATTGGTATACTTCTCATAATTCTGAATGGCATCAAGAATTGCAGCATTCTTCTTCCAAATATCTTCTCTATTACAAAACTGGGAAAATTACCCATCACTGACTTAGGTTATGCCATTTACCTTCATGGCTTCATTAAAAACACCAGGAAGTCCTTAAATTAAACAGAAGTGGAAGGTATAAAGATTATTGTTCATTAATTACTTTAATTATTGTTTATGAGCACTTTGTTTTTGCCTCATTAAATTTCAATCAAAACTACAACTGAAGGGAAGAGAAGGTAGTGGTGCTCATGCTAGAAGAAACTGGAGGAGGCTACCTGAGCAGGGAACAGTTCTTCTCTTCCTTCCAAAAGAAACTGGCAGTGCTTCTGTTGTCAGTTCTTCATTCTTCTCAACCCTTCAACTTCCATTAAATGCTGTGAGGTTTGGAGTACAACCTGAATCTGCCACAGAAAGAGTTATGAGAACACCATCACTTGATAAATTGCTTCCTAACTGTGCAATGCTACTATTATATCTTTGTTGGACCAGTGAAACATATGGCTGATGAATAAAAGTGAAATGCAGGACCAGTGAATCTGAAATGTGTGATATTTAATATGGGCTTCAAAATTCCTGCCTGGGATAAGCATTCTGAACTGTATACAAATACTTAGAAGAAAAGAGGAGGTATTTATTTATTTACTTACTTATTTATTGTGCCAAGGTCCTGGGTATTTATCACTTTCTTAAATACCCATGTCTCCTTTTGCATATAAGGTCACTTGTGATTGTCAAAACTGGCAAGATCCCTCAGAGGCCAGTAACTGCTGTTAGCTGGTAAAGTCCTGTATTTCTATATTGAAAACTCCTAGGGTGAGGGTGGCTTTACATTGGAAGAGGAGAGAATCAACCAAACATTGTAGATAATATTTGTGCAATTTGCTTGGAAAGCATTAAATGCATGATAACAGTAGGATGATTTTGATTTTTGTATTTCATGTACAAACTTTGAAGCCCCCCAGCTGCTCCCAAAGCAGAGCCCCCAGCTCCTGGGCTGCAGGCAGGCAGCCAAGACCACTGCTTCACTTAGATCCCCCTACCTGGAGCAGGTACTTATTGCCAGTAGCGACACATTAATCAACTAACGAGACGATTAAAGAAGTAATTACAGTATAAAACAGCAGGAAGGGGACTTCCTTTTCAAAGATGCTGTAATATACTTAAGGTTAAGTCAGGTCAGCTTACTTACATTGCACCAGGTCTGTCTAAAATGCTATTTCTTTGTGGCTCCTCTCACTGGTGAATTTTACTGAAGTAGCTGACATAATCAGTCAGTATGGCTATTTACTATTGCTGTAAATCAGAATCAGTGGAAAACTCAATCTTTCCCCCCCCTTTTAATTCATTGTAAAGGCCACTCTGTGTTAGGAACTAAAAGGCTTGTAGGAGTGGGGAGAAATAAATTGAAAGTATCTGTTGTCTTCCTAAGAGTGTCTCAATTATGTGGATCAATTGTGCATTTAACTAACTTTCCTTGCAGCACTGTGCAGAAGAGTAAATGCCTGTAAACTATATTTTGACAATGTCTGCATACACTTTGAATGATTCTTAAGTTTGATAGTTATTATGTCTCTGAGGCAGTTCTTTTATTTGGAAACAACTTTGAAATTGTAATGGAAATCAATGGGTTTAATGATTAAAGGCACAAGTACTCTATCAGATGCACATTTTTTTTCTAGAATGTGTATCTGTGGTCAAATTGCTCAAGATAGTACATTACTACTACTTAGTGACTGGAGATGTCCTTATGCTGTTCCACAGATATTTCAGACCAGGTGAAATGAGTTCACACGCTAGGAAACACTTTCTCATTTTATGTCTTCCTATATTTCATTTATTACTTCCAATAAAAAGTAGTTATATAGTATTATCCCACTTTTTAGATTAAGAAATCTGGGGTACAGGACAAGCATGAACCTTATTCAAGTTCACAGAATTTTTAACTGGCCTATCAAGAGTTGATATACTGATCTTCAACTACTTATATAGTATACTATACTATTAATGACTGGGTTTGGTGTTTAGTAAAAGCCTAAACCCATATTGTAAGGAAGTTTTAACTTTTTAAACATTGTTAATATTATACCTTGTAGTGAAGGATAATTTCAGTGAGACAGAGAATTTACTTACCCTTTTCTTTCTAAGTAGAATAAAGAAACAGGTATGTGTGAAATTTCTTTACCATCTAATGTAATTTCAGTAAGCCTGGTGGAATATGTTAAGATTTCAGTCTCTTTTCTGGAGATCAATATTGAATCTATATTACATGTGGCTGCCATAGTGACCTTTCTCTTGGATTGTCTTAACTTTGATACAGTTACTTCTAATTGAAAATTACTTTTCACAACCAGCTCATATTTTATACATAACTAGAGGCCCGATGCATGAAATTGATAGAAGGGGCTTGGCCGCTGCCACCATGGCAGCTCCCTCTGCTTTGGCCCACACCGCCATGGCTTCACCTGGAAGGTCACCTGGAAAGACATCTGGAAGGGCACCTAGTCTAATTAGCATATTGCACTTTTATTATATAGATTATATATACATATGTGAATAGACAAATCCCAACATGGTCTAGAAAAGTGGTTCTCAAATTTAGAATTATCTCAAATTTAGAGTTATTTGGAGTGCTTTTTCAGATACTGGACTCACCTCTGAGATTTCTGAATTAGTAGGTCGGGAATGAGGTCTAAGAATTTGCCTTTCTAAAAGCTCTCAGGTGATGCTGATGCTGGTGGTGGGGAGACCACACTTGAGGAGCACTGGTGTGGAAGAAAGTAAATTTTTTGGAAATGAACTGTGCGATGGGGTAAGGAATTGTATATACAATTTAGAGCCAGGTACTTTATTTTTGTAAATGTCAGTAAATAATCATAAAAATCTAATCTACTTCACAATTCTACCTTGGGAAATTTAAATCAGTGGAATACATAACATTTCTTAGGTGTTTAGATACTCTCTTTGGGAGTGCTTCCTTTAGTGATAAAAATATTTTTGTTTTGTTAAGTATTCTCTTCCTTTGTCCATTAGGTTGCATATTCTTTTGAAAATTTGTCATTTTACTCTTTTACTTTTTATTAATTTCTTCTAATAATAAAGATCCTTTTATCGATAGTCAAAATAAACACATTTCCTTGATTTTCTGCTTTTATGTGTTCATTGAAGAAAGCCTTTGCCTTAATATTAGATACACATCCACTCATATGTTTTTCTAGTTAATTTCTGTTTTGATACTTATTATTTGATCAATGGGATTTTGTGTGTGTGTGTGTGTGTGTGTGTGTGTGTGTGTGTGTGTATTTATGGAGAGAAAGAGAAAGAGCAAAACCTAAATCAACTCCTAAGTAGATTGATTCATGTCCCATATTAAAGATCTGACAGTAGAAGAGGTGTGCTCATTTCTAGCAAAAAAAAAAAAAATAGTACTTACTGTAGTTCTTACCAGTTTACTACAAATGTTATTTAATCAATGCACACCTAAAAAAAGAAAAGGAAGTGCCAAACAAAAAATAAATCACTGCTAACAGATAAAACAACTTATTTTATGAGTCTTACCAATGGCCACAATATTAAAGCTTTTGCACAGGAATTTAAAAATAACTATAAATAATATGTTTAAAAATCTAGTAGAAAAGAGAATATATGGTGAACAGAAGAGGCAGTTTATCAGTGATATGGAATTATCTAGACAGCTAAATATAAATGTTAGATATATTGTAAGCCTGAAAATAATAGAATTTCATCTTTAAAGTACTAATCTATAATAATAAAAGCCTAATATGCTAATTAGACTGGACGACCTTCTTGACAAAACTAGAGCTGTAAGGGAAGCCTGGGACCTACTCTTGCACGAATCTTACGCATCAGACCTCTAGTAGAGAAAGAAAAAGCAACTGTCAAATAAGGATTCTATACCTAGCACAAATTTTTCTAAAACAAAGCTAAGTGAATTTTCCCCCCAAATAAACAAAAGGTGAGGTAATTCATTTCTAGCAGACTGTACTATAAGATAGGCCAAAGACTATTAGGACAGAAGCAGTATGATTTCAGATTAAAATATTGATCTGTGCAAAGAAGTGAAGAGTGACAGTAATGATGAAAATGATAATAAGTAGAAAATACATTTGTTTACTTGATTTCAGTTATTTCAAATTCATTAAAAAAGTTTTATGGTTGAAAGTATTACATATAATATGTCCCCTAGCCTTCTCCCATTCCCCAATCCCTGCCCAGGCCTTCACTACAATTTTTTTAAATATATATCTTTATTGATTTGGATAGGAAGGGAGAGGAAGAAAAATAGGAACATCAATGATGAGAGAGAATCATTGATCTGCTGCCCCCTACATGACCTTTACTGATTATTGAGCCCCCACAACCTAGGCATGTGTCCTGACTAGGAATCAAACTGTGACCTCCTGGTTCATAGGTTGACACTCAACCACTGGGCCTTCAACACACACACATATATATAGATATATAGATATATGCATACTTCTAAATGTTTATATATATTTACTACATATACCATTGTAATATATACATGTATATACTTATTCATGATATTATAATTTACTTCCTTTTGATTTACACATTAATTCTTTGAACAGTTTATGTTAAATTCTTTACCTATGTGACATATTATTGACTTTTATTCAATTTTTTCAATTGATTTTACTAAATTTTCAATTGCTATTTTACTTCAAATTTTATTGCATTTATTTCATTTTTTTGTCAGTCATTGAATAAACAAATGAATGAATACTATACATGTTCACTTTATTTTTCAGTTGGTTTTATCTTACATTTAAAAATCCATGCTTAGTTTTTTCTATATCATTTTAATGAGCACATTAATATTTATGTCTTCCCTCAAATAAGAAAGAGCTTTCACTCATAATAACTCCATTTCCACCTTTTTTTCTGCCCCTAATAATGCCTTCTAAAATATAATTCTCCATTGTTATGATTAAGTTATTTTAAAATTAATTCTTACTTTAACAACAAGTAGATTTTGCAAAATGTTTTAAGTTAAGTTCCTCAGAATGCATTTAGTAGTTGTATTTTTATTTTTATTTTTCTGAATACAAATTCTAGGTTCCATGTTATTTTGTTTCAATTTTTTGAAAACATGCCAATATCTCTGGGTTTTATTACTGCTGTTTATGAAGTTTATTTCAGTAAGATTATGTCTTTCTAAAAAATTGTTTCATTGGAATACATTTTTAAATTTCACCAT